CTCGTCAATATGCGTTTTTCGCATTGCACTGCTGCAAAAAACACATAAAAAGTCAAACAGCATCCAGTTTAGTTCTCAAGTATTCAGTCCTTGAAAGCGGCAACTACCACCATCATCGTCAGTGACTAGGTGTTAGACAGAGATCATTATTTATGTTAATTTGGGAGCATGCCATGGGAATGTTGAGCACATGCCTCTCATCCTTAAGAATTTAGAACCAAAGATTGCAACGACTTTTACTAACGTGCAAACAAACGTTTAAAACAGCTGCTTTCAAGAACTTGAAGCAGCTTATGCTGCACTTTAAAACGCCAGAACTTTAACACCAGATAAATGAAATGCGTTTTTCGAATAATTATTTGATAAAGTTTATAAGCATTTGCACATGTGAAAGTGAGCATTTCACTTAGGAAATCCAATAGCGGATTTGGCAACTTAGGGTAGAAATCCGATTCTTCTGGATAAAAACACTTTGGAAGCATAAACTTGCCTTAATTTTTCTCCATGGTAGAGAACCTTGCAAAAACTCCACTAACATATAAAACAAAGACCATAGATCATCTTGTCTTCCCATTTCCTGAAAAGAAGAAAGAAAACAAACTGTAACTAGAACTGCAAGCAAGAAGAGTCAAAACATGCTATTTTGAAGTGCAGAAATATGCATTGAACCTATTTATAACTGGGAACTCCTATTATTTGTCAGTGATGAAGTAAACGAGATAATTTCGTTCTCCGGTGTTTAAAGAGAAATATGGATTAAGTCAAAGAAGTACTGGCTGAACTGAAAATTCCTAATTGTTTTTGGCGAAGAAGGGCAAAACATCGAAATTTCCAAAAAAAAAACTGTCCATATGAAACTCAAAGATTTCAAATTCGGTCCCGAGGCGTGTGCGATTCCCGCGCACGGCCCCGTGAGGGTTCCCGGCACGAAAACCGCTAACTTGGGATCCAGGGCAGCTGGGAGGCTGAAATTTTAAGAGGATGCTCTCAGCTCATGTACAACTTAAAAGTTATCAAATTGAGCCCTTCGTTGTGCGTGGTTCTCACGTAGAGCCTCGTGAAAGCTTTGGCTGGGATATGGCTAACTCCGGGGGAAGCTGGGGGCTGAAATTTTCAGAGAATATTCCCAGCTCATCTACAACTTAGATTTATCGAGTTCAGCCTCCGGGCATGCGTGGTTTCCACGTACGGCCCGGTGAAAATTTTTGGCGGGAAAATTGCTGACTCTAGAACCAGGAAAGCTGGGGGCTGAAATTCTTAGGGAATGTTCCTGTCCAAGTACAGTGTAGATAATTAACTTCCCGAATTTCGATGTCCTGTATGTCACACATTTCTAGCTACTGGATTTCCGAGCGGTATCATTACAGCACGAAACACTGCAAAAACGCATGATTGCACAGGCCCAACCGGTGCGTGTCGCCAATGATTTTTTGATTATTATCACTGTTATTATTTTCAGCCATTCATCAACAAAGAAAATGCAGTACACTCACAGTAATCTACGATAAAGCTCTAAAAACCGCATGCGTTTTTGTTTTGGGATGGTCGAGCAAATTTCTTTAAAAAGTGGGTAGGATATGGCCCTTCTTGGGGAGTGAAAATTTGAAAAACCAAAAATTATACTGACAAACCTTATTTTTGTGTGCCGAAACAGCAGCATAACGTACGGTGCCCCGGAAGCCAGCAGCGCTTCGTGGACTGCGAATTTCACCTTTCGCGTTTAGGTACTGACGCGCAAGACCAAAATCAAGCATATAAACCAGCTTGCATGCTGTGCCCGACCTTCCCATGGCAAAATTCGACTGAAATTTGTTTTGCACGGGCATAGGCTGCTGAATATTGCTTCAGTGGGTATAGAATTAATGGAATTTGCCATTTTGAAGAATCTCGCAAGGCTAGGATGAGGACTGTGTGCTTTGATCGTGCCACTTACAGAAAATTAGCAGAGTAATCTGGTTTTCTGGCTATTGATGGAAATATCATAACTGCTCCAGTGAGGTCTGATCTTTATCGAGCCAATCTAACGATCTTGCTTGAACGATTTCCGTTTCACAACTCCCTGCTCTTGACGCTAGCAACTTCCGAGTAACTGTACAGTATGTACTGCAGCAACATCTTAGCAAATAAAACGCAGAGTG